AGGAAGGTAAAAACAGTTAGTGTGGAAAAAGTCAACAATAATGAAACAGATAAGCTTATCAAACGTATTAGATATTCCAGTGATACTCCCTTACCTTCAAATATTCTATCAAATCAAAAGGAAACTGACAATAAGCATTAGTCAAAGATAACTATTGACAAAGTATAAAGGGTGTAAAAGAAGAAGGGTAAACAAATGGGCAATAAAGCTGTGTGAGAAAAAATAAATTGTGAACAGTAAAACAATGACGAAAGTCACGTAATAAACTAAAATAATAACGAAATAAATCACAATAGTAAATAATAATTATGCAATAATATAACACCGGTGTTGATCACCACCAGTGATCCATAGCAAAATTCTTTTTTTAATTTTTTAATAATACAAAATTAATGATGTTTTTTTGATATTTTTTTACTAATTTTCTTTCTTTTTTCTTGTTATTAAAAAAATTTATATTTTGGAATTAAGATAAATAAATCAAAATGACTTTTTAAATGAATATTTACTATTTTTTTTTTCTTTATTTTTTAGGAAAATTATTATTTTAATAAGTAAATTACAAGTTACTTTTAAGGTAATTTTTATTCTTATTATTTTTTTTTTTGTTTAGGAAAATTCTCATTTTAAAATTAAGATAATAAATTGGAAATGATTTATTAGGTAGATTTTTTAATATTTTCTTACTTTTTTCTTATTTTTTAAGAAAATTATCATTTTGCAATTAAGGTAAGTAAATCAAAAGTGATTTTTATGTGAATATTTTAATTCTTTTCTTTATTTTTCTTTATATTCTTTAGAGATACATTATAATAAGTCAATTGAAGGTGATTTTAAGATGAAATTTTTAACTTATTCCTTTATTTTACTTTATTTTTTGATGAATATATCTTATATAAATCAATCAAATATGAATTTTTTAAGTAATTATTCTATTATTTTTTCTTATTTATTTTTATGTAAAAATAATAAATATAAAATTAATAAAATTTAAATAAATATAAAATTGTTATTGTTAATTCTTATTTATTTAAGCTGATTTTAGGTTGATTGATAGCTATAAAGTTTCAAATAAGTTGAGCTAACTTTTGAGTCAAATGAGTTGAGTCAAGTTGAGTCAAAAAAATGGACTCATTTTATTTGAGTTAAATTTTAAGTTAAGCTTGATTCGACTCGAGATAACTCAAGCTAAACTTTAATCCAAAGTTGAGTCTAAAGTTAAGTAAAACTTGAGCTCAAAGTTGAGCTGAACTTGAATAAAAATTTAACAATTTTTTTTAAAGAAAGTATAAAAAATTGCTCAGATAGAACAATATATATCATTCTAAAAGAATAATAGAAGTTTTATTCTGATAGAATGATAAATTATCATTTTAAAGGAAGTATAAAAAATTCATTTTGATAGAACTATGGTATATCATTTTTAAGGAATGATAGAAGAATCATTGTTATAGAATGATACATTATTATTCTAAAGAAATAATTTTATTTATTATTCTGATAGAATAATGCATAATCATTTTAAAAGAACTATATTATTTATTGTATTGATAGAATAATACATAATCATTCTAAAGGAATAATATTATTTATCATTTCTTTAGAATGATACATAATTATTCTAAAGGAACAATTTTATTTATCATTTTAATAGAATAATCTTTTACCGTAGAGCACTGCACAAGATACCCCAGGTATAAATCAATTTTTTCAATTTAAAAATTGATTCATACCTATGGGTATCTTGTGAAGAGCAGGGTATAATAAGCGGTAGGGTATTTTAATAGGGGTATTATATCGGGATGTCTATTATAGAGGAGTTACAAAGTATAAACTAATCTTATTTAGTCTATATCGATAACTGACACAGCATATAGGCGTATATTAAGAGGTAAAGATACAAACTAAACATATATAATCTATATCGACAACTTATATAGCAACAATACACAACATATTTGAAATATAATAAATAAAGCATACATTCAGTGTTTCTCAATTATTTTCTTTTGTTCAAAAAAAATTTTTCTTTGATTTATATTAAATGATTTAACAATCTTTTTTTAAGAATTTATTGCAAAATTACCTTTTCTTTACATAAGTTGCATTTATTTTATCGTAATAAGTAATTAATTGAGTGAAAATTTAATTAATT